GGTTTTACTCCAAGATCATGATGGACAGTTAAAGCCTGTAAGCTTTTGTTCCAGAACACTCACTGATGCAGAACAACGATATGCCCAAATAGAAAAGGAGTGTCTTGCAGCGGTCTGGGCATGTGAGAAATTCACCAGATACCTTTACGGACTGGACTCTTTTACCTTGCAAAGTGACCACAAACCACTAATACCTCTCATAAACAGTAAAGATCTTAATTCAGTGCCAATCAGATGTCAGAGACTTTTGTTGAGAATGATGCGTTACAACCCCACTGCTGTTTATGTGCCAGGGAAAGAACTCATAGTTGCGGATGCCCTTTCACGTCACCCACAAGGAACCTCATCCCARGAAGTTGCAGAACTGTTGGAGGAAATAGAAGCAAGTGAAGAAGAAATGCAACGCTCTTGGCCTATTTCTCCTACCAAGTTGGATTTAATTAAACAACACACACGGCAGGATACAACTCTACAAACAATCCAAACCTYTTTGCAGACAGGCTGGCCTAAAAATATAACTAAGCTGTCAGAAAAGGTGAGGTCATTTTACACCAACAGACATTCTCTTACTGTGTCTAATGATCTTGTKCTGTATAATGACAGAATTGTCATACCACAACAGCTTAGACCCGAGATCCTACAGCGCATTCACRATGGACATCAAGGCATAGTGAAATGCAGAGAAAGAGCCAAATGTAGTGTATGGTGGCCAGGACTAAGCAGTGAAATAAAACAAATGGTTACTGCTTGTGCACACTGCCAAGAGACAAAACCCAATCAGAGAAGAGAACCATTGCTTGCTACCACACTGCCTAGTCGACCGTGGGAGAGAATAGCCGCTGACATTTGTGAACTGAACAAACAAAACTACCTCGTTGTAATAGACTACTTCTCTCGTTACATCGAGTTAGCCCACCTCAAAAACATGTCAAGCGAAACCACAGTTGCTAACCTGAAAAAMATTTGTGCAAGATGGGGCTGCCCAAATGAACTGGTTACAGACAATGGCCCACAATTCTCTGGGAGAATWTTTGAACAGTTTGTAAAAGACTATGATATTAAACATATTACCACAAGTCCTCATTATCCACAAGCGAATGGTGAGGCTGAAAGAGCCGTCCAGACAGCCAAAAAGATTCTGAGACAGACTGACCCTTTCTTGGCACTCATGATTTACAGATCAACTCCCATTCAAGCAACTGGTGTGAGCCCGGCCCAACTCATGCTGGGAAGACAAATCAGAACAACGATACCRATCTTGGAAGAAAAGTTRCAGCCTGAGTGGCCGGACCTTCAGCTCGTCAGGTTGACTGATGCAAGGACAAAAACGAACTATGTGCGTAACTACAACAACAGATATGGTGCTAAACCACTACCAGAACTTCAACCAGGACACAGTGTCTCGGTGAAGCTGGACAGTCAAAAGGGATGGACAGAACCAGCTACTGTTCTACAAAAGTATGACTCACCACGATCATATCTTGTCACAACTGAGTCGGGGGTTTTGAGGAGGAACCGTCGACATCTGAGACCCATCCTCAGCAACCCACCTACTCCGGCAACAGATGGACTGCCACAGGTTCAGAGTGAGAACAAGTCACACCCATCTCCCCCACCTGTGGAACCGGGACATGATCCTCCAGACCTAGTTAATCATCTTGACTCCCCTCTGACTACTGTTTGTACAACCTCTAGTGGAAGGATTGTTAAACCACCAAGCAGATATGCTGATTATACTAAGTGAATGGTTTGTTAAAATATACATATATGTAACCTATGTTTTGTTTTGTTTTAGCGCTGAGTGTTTATGTGCATGCCTGTGAGTTATACCGAGTTTATCTAGTAGGGGTTGAGTTAAGTATTTTGTCAACTAATGCTAAAACAGGGTTTAAAGACCAAAGAAAAAGAGATGTTTATTTTGTCTTTTCTGTTGCTTTCTCTTAAAAGACTCAAAGATAGGGTGATGTAATGTAATGGCACTAGTTTATGTGGAAGGTTACGTTGAGATGAGACGGGGAAGTGGGAGGAACCAAAAAGGACACGAGACGCCACGCACTGTTCAGTGATCTGCTCGCATGTGAATATTTTGTTCAAGTTGTTTTGTTCAATATTAAAGGAGTTAAAATACAATATCGGTGACTTCCCTGACTCAGCATACCATCACACCGAGAAGAGTGCAGAAGGAGCTCAAATACAAGATCCGGAGGGGCAAAGAAAGCTTCAGGAAGAAGATGGAGGAGCAGCTCCAACAAAACAAAGTCCGAGAGGTCTGGAGGAACATGACTAAAATCACTGGCCACTTCAAAGACAATGGACCACTTCATATTCATATTCATTTCTGTTTTAGTGAGTCTGTTTTGCCGTGCATCGCTGCTCACATTTCTTTTTTTCCTCTCTCTCTGTTTTGGGAGGGGAGCTCACACTGCATGCTGGTTAGCAGGAACAGCAGGTACAGGGAGCGACAGCAAACAAAATACCTCAGAAACTTGCCCAAATAAGCAAATATTGTTAGATTTAGCATTTTATACTGGATTACATTTTGTTTGGTCAATTCCGCAGTTCCGTCTGCGTTTCATTAGCAACTTATAAATGGAAGTGGAGCAGGAGAAAGTGGATTCTGATTGGCCGTTGTCATGTTTGATCAATTAAAGTGGCTCACAGCTGATCATTGTAATCAACCTGAATTTTTTCTCAGTCAATAACCACGATCAAATAATCGCCCTGACCTAGTGCATGCTATCAAGTTTGCACATGTTTTTATAAAAGTGCACCTTTATTAGATCAGGCCCTATGTGTCCAACTCCAGCTTTTTACCAGGGGTTCATGTTTATCAAACCAACCTGATGGTGACATTCAGTGAATTTAAATTTTCTTCCTTCCTGAGCAGACTCCCTCCTATTATATATTTCCAGTGTTTGTTTTGGCTCAAAACAATTGCTTCTGGTTGCCAAAACTTCCCTCCTTCCTAAGACCAGGCATACATGTGACAGTCTATTCTCCCGTTGGCTTGCACGTGGCCATGATGAATTAGTGTAATGCCGTGCAAATATTAATCACATTGTCAATGCAGCTGAGCAGGAAAGCAGTTTAGTACCGCAGCCACCATGCAGCCTCATTTATCAAAGCCTGGAGCTTACATCCTATGCTAACCCTCCTGCTCGCTGCCTGCAAATCACAGGCTGTTCCCACCCAGTTTTTCTGTTGCCAAAATCGCCTTCAACCATTTTCTCAAGTTTACAGCTGCAAACTCAGGAACTTACCAAAATCCACAAACATTCTGAATTAGGTAATAAATGTACATGAAAGCTGTGATGGACTTGCGACCTGTCCAGGGTGTACCCCGCCCCTCGCACTGTGACTGCTGGATATGGGCACCAGTGACCCACGCAACCCTGAAAAGGAAGAAGCGTGTACAGAAAATGGATGGATGGATACTACAACATTTCATCACTGTAAATTTCATCAAGACGTTAAAGTTTAAAAATAATAATAATATTGGTAACAAACTAAAGGATTTTGTTAGAACATAGTCTTTCACACTTTTTCTACATGCTGTGGAGAACATTTTCAGTCAGATATTTACATACAGTAGTTTTGGCTCTAGGAGGACAAC